ACACACACACACACACAGTTCTGGTGTTTTTATCTGTAGAGATTATGCTGCACCACAAAGGCAAAACACAGCAACTACATATTCAGTCAAAACTGAGTTAAGAGCACAATCTTATCTTTCCATAAAAAGTCTTTATACAATCAAATGTTTATTTTTGAGGAACGAAACAGGAAATTCATAGAAACTATAAATCAGAGGTAAACAAACAAACCACTGTGACTGCACTCCGCTAGTTTACCCACTTTTTTTCCTGTTTCCTGAAAATGAAAGATCTACTCTGATGCTCTGAAGTCTTATTAACTGAGCTTGTTACACCATATAAATAAGAAAATAACTACATCTTAAATCATAATGGAGAGACCTAACAAATGCTATCGAGCATGGAACTTATATGACTTTATGTGGTTTAGCTACAGTTCAATCACATATTCAACATGTATTTCATCAAAGATTAATTAACCTTGAATGTAGATACTGTAGGTTTTTCAGAGCTCATAATATTTGATAATAAATAAGGTGTAACATTTTACAGCTTGTGTGTTTCACAGTTTAGCTACAAACGTCAAACCCTTTCTCTTCTGTTTCACTGCTGCTGTAGTTACTGCTCTCTGACTTTGTAAGGCTGTATGGATGAGAACTTCAACCATGCGAAACCAATTCATGCCTCACGTGAGTTCAAGTCTAATCTTAACGCAACTATCTGAAAGTGAGCCTACAGAGTTAGTACTGTACCCAATAATTCACTACGACCGTATTGTAACCTCTTTTTTTAGTGGTTTAAAGAGTGCCGTTGCCAAAACTACAACAATAAGACCCAGATTGTGAGAAAAAGTCGTCATGCTGCATAATGCTTTGGATAAAGGTGTCTATCAAATGCAGAGAAGCCACTTCAGCATTAGTGTGCGTCTGTACATTGCCTCGGTAACAAATCTACACTGAGAATCTGATCAATAATCAGGGTTGTGGAAAAAGGCAAAATGGCTGAAAACAACAAGCTCGCCCACAAATACTTCACCACGTAAACAATGTATTTGACTGTAAATATTCTCTCTCTCACATATGTAAGGCTGCTGACACAAAGCTGTAATCTCACACAGACTGGAGTTTCAGTTCTGCAAATGTTTCTCAGTTATAAGTTAAAACCCTCGGAACCGCTGTGTGTGAACAGACTGATACCACGTGAGAAAATAAAGAGGGAGGGGAAGAGAAAGCCATCGAATAGACAACAATGCAGTCTAGTCCTGCGGTGTTATCTAGGTTTGCTGCTCAGCCCTGGATAACATCAAGTTCAAAGTAGCCCTAATAGTCTTGCTAGCATGCTGACTTCATGAACCCTCACCTAAATCCCACCAACAAAAACACACAGTGACGACGATAACGAGCAACTATAACCAGACTCTGCGTCCAGTTTTAGAGCCACCACAGCAGCAGCAGTTTCAGAAATATAGGCGCACTCACAGAAAGTCCAAACTCTGCCACCTTTAGGTGAGAATAGTAATAACAAGTTACAGTTTTGACACTCGTGCCACCCGCAGGCAACTGTTACAACAGCCGCTTTCCTTTTATAACGGCTGTTTGTGAGCTGTTTGAGGCTTTGCATTTATTATTTTTAAACTGGCAAAACAAGTTAACACACTTTATGAAGTTTGTATTTGTTGTATTTGAACTATAAACTTTATATATAATAATTAACATTTCATCTTGTCTGAAGGGATGAATGAATGAAAAAAAGCCAAAAGCTGAGTTATGTTTTTGTTTGAGTATTTAATAATCACTGAGGGTTAGTATGACACAATGATTCTCCATTATTATTTATTTATGCCTTGGTCCTGTGTAGTGTGTAGTGTGTAGTGTGTGTGTGTGTGTGTGTGTGTGTGCGTTTGTGCTGCAGGTCGTCAGCTGGGTGGAGCTGAGGTACCATTGTGGTAACCGGGAACATCTGGTCAATGCTCCTAAGTTATTTAAACCCGCCTCTCCAGACGCCAGTGTGTCGAACCCTTCACCATTAACCAAGCTCTGCTTGACTCATTGCAGTTGTTACTAAGTTTGGCGTGCGTCTCCTGCCTGTTGTGGCCCACAAGCCCTATTTTAGCTGACAGGTGGTACGCATGTAAAATGTAAAACCTCAAACACACAAACAAAGAAAACAGCATACATGAAGACTGTAGCAGTAGGTAGCTGCCTGTAGCTGGTGGCTTCAAATTATTTACATATAAGAGTAAAAGCTGCTGCTGCTGTTACTTTTCTTGCCTATAGGTGGCGCAGACTGGCAAACATTGAGGGTCTGATAATGACCCAGCAGCACCAGCTTGTGCAGAAGCCTGCTAAACATGGGTTAGTTGGTTTGTGAGTGAGTTACAAACTTATTATCTGCTTCACAGCTAGACAAATACATTATAATTCATATTTTAAGTAGATATTCCTCACCTCATCCTCATTTGTCACCGTGGTTTTCTGCTTCACTGAGAGTTAAATCAACCAATGTCTCTGTCTTTAAAATATCCAAATAAAGCCTTTCTTTTCTAGGATAGTATGTATCTTTGAATGAGAGTTGTTGGCTGACTGAGAATAAAAACTACATTTCAGAACTGACCGGTGTTTGTGTAGCAGCTGGTGGTGATTTCCCACAGAGAAGCGAGTCCAGAATCAAAGCCACGACAGCCATCTGGTGATATTTGACTGGAACAGTAAAAACTGATTAGACGGAGGTACTGCTCGCTCTCTGGTCATCTCATGCTGTGTTAAGGCCTCAGAACAGAACCCACATACAAAGCCTGATTTACTTCCTAAACTCCAGTGGCAAGGACAACGGACTGCTGTGTTGCGTGTGTGTGTGTGTGTAGTGGCGGCGGGTCTTGCGGTGTCCGCCGGGCCCACAAGAGCCGACGCCCTTGTGGGGGGGTGTGTGCGGGGGGTTTGAGTAACAATCTTTAACCGCCGACAGTCCAGAGAGGTAACACAGGTTAAAGTTCAAAAAGCTGAATGATTGATCTACTTCAAAATGCAGAGATGCAACTACTTATGAATGATATGGTATCTCCACCACGGCTGATTTCACTTCTTTTTTTTTTTTTATAAATCTAACTGCAGCGAATGCCCGTACAAACAATAAGACACAAGCCACAGCTACGATTACCTCTGAGCTAACATTGTCAAAAAGCCCCAATTAAGCAACATCTAAAAAAAACAGTCAGAGGATCACAAGACATTCTCTGTTACGTCCTGGACAGAAGAAAAAGCTAGTCTCAGGGAGACCCTGTCCTCGTCACAGCACAGAATAAGAAGCACTTGGATCAGAAGAAGCACTAAGTCATGCAAAAACACAAAGCTCAAACAAAAAATAAAAACATCTGTAATCTATAATACAAAAAAACAAAATGTCAGATATGAGCTGAAACAACTGTCAGGGTAAGTTTCTTCAGAAGCTCGGATAGCGTCACCTGACACCTGATTGTCCATGTGAGTGTCTCCACAATGACAAGGTTTTAGTGGATACACGACTCCTGTGAATCTAAGACAGGAAAATCAAAGTTTTCCTGCTTCACTCCTGATCGCTGAAGGGCTTTATCTTACAAATACGGGCATGCATCAGACCGTAAGACAATCACTCCACAAGAAGGCCAAGTTAGAAAAAGGATAAAAATTGTATCTTTCAACAGAGAAAGATGTCGAAAAGCATTGCTCTGTCAAGATATTGTACAAAACGATGAGCAGACGGACACCTGAGAACTATCGAAAAACGTGTATTATCCACAACAGGAAACAGTCGGTTGCGGACGCTGCTGAGGTTCAGAAAGTCCAGCCTGTTGGGGCGCAGCGAGGGGGGGAAAGAAACCCGACAAGAAAAGGCTTTAGTTCATTTTTCCACCTGCGCAACTGACCTTACTCATACAAACAGCCATTTTGATCACTAAGCTTGACAAATTACCTGCATGATTGATATAGATATGCATTGAACTGGCCTCATGTCAACAAACATTTCATTTTAGAGCCAAATAGTTTGAATTTTGCAGGGATGTCAGCTTTGTAGTTAATTAGCTACTCCCTAGACTCTGGTAGCGATCAATAATGGACTAAATATATTAAAAAAGTGAACCAATATCCTTGCAGATTCTTGAGATCCAGTTAGTTTTAGGTTTCTGTTTCGCTGGAGAATCAGTGGCATTGATATGAAGTGTATCTGGGCACACGACAGGAGTGCAGACCTGCATCGGGCTCGCTCTTCCACACAGAGATCCAAAATGGCTGCCATGTGAATAAGGTTATACGGTTTTACACAAAATGAGGTCACAACGGTACTTTGTTATATGCCCTGAAGAAACAACATATACCTTTTAAAGCTTTTCTGATTAAAAATAGAGGATATTCATATTTACTTTTTTTTTTTATAGAATTCTAAATATATAGATTTTTTTTTCCTGCAGTGAGAGGATTGTTAAAGATTTAAATGATAAAACACAATAAAGAGAATAACAATAATGATAATAATGACAATGAAAAGATAAAATAAAATAAAAAAAATCTCTCCCCTAGAGGATAAAACATCGCTGTCAATCAGTAGCTGTGTTTGTGTGTGTAAACAGTGCATTACCCTTCCTAGTTATTACCTTCTCTTTTGTTCTCCGTTAATCTGTACATTTATGCAGAAATAAATAATTCACAGGTTGTGCATACATATTTGTTTAGCATATACTGGCTCTCAGTTGGGATATATATATATTTTTCTTTTTTTTTTCCGAAATTATTTTGGCTATGAAGAACAAAAGAGGTGAGTTGGTGAGAGAAAACCTGAGATAGTGTACTTCAAGTGATGTGAGTTTCAGTTTGTGTCTTTCTGTACAGTTTATGGTTCTTCTCTTTTTGGCATAGATTATGTAGAAAATGAGGTTGATTTTTGGCTTTACTTAGCGTGGTAATAAAAAAACAAAACAAAAAAAATAAAACAAAGGGGAAAGGCCGGGGGTTTGTTAAGACAATGAGTTGCTGGAGGTTGAGGTTGAGGTAGGTGTGTTCTGTTGCTGCTGTGAAGCGACACGACCGCTGACCGTCTTGTTGGAGGCGGACGATCCAGATGCACCGGACAAGGCCGACCCTGCTGCTGCCTGAGCAAAAAGAACGCCTAGAGAGAAAAAGATATGAAAAACCCAGAAACGAAGGTTAGAATACAAAGTCTGTTTGTAGGAGGAGATTAGACTAGAGTACAATAAAGGCTGGAAGAAAGGGGGAAACAGAGTAGCTTGGCTCTCATTAAAGTTATTTAATATTATAGGAATTATGGTTGTTTGCTCTTGATGGTACCAGATGCATCAATAATACTGTGACAGCGAGGTTCTGGGAGGTCAGACTGAGTTCAGATTAAAGGTCCAGTGTGTAGGGTTTAGTGGCATCTAGCTGTGTAGTTGCAGATCGTGAGTCTGTTGCTTCACCCTCCTCTTCCAGGCACTAGGGAGAATCTACGGTGGCCGCAAGATGTGTGAATAAACGTCTCTGTCTAGAGCTTTGTTTGTCCCTTCTGGGCTACTGTAGAAACATGGTGGTTCAACATAGCAGACATCATGGAAGGTGAAGATTAAAACAGCTCATTCTAAGGTCACAAAAAACACCTATATTCAGGTGATTATACACTCATGAAAACATACTATATTCAATTTCCGTCAATAGATCCTCCTAAATGTTACACACTGGACCTTTAAACAACACATTAATTAGTGATTGTCGAGCTGTTGGTAGGCAGATTTCTTAACTTTAGAGTGAGCGAGGCCAGCTGTTTCCTTCTGTTTCCTCAACACGCAGTCATGTGAGAGTCGATGTTCTCATCTTACTCTCAGAGAGACATTAAACATGAAAGGAAGTGATCAGCTGGACTTCCTGTTCCACACGACAGCGATACTCACCAGTGTACACCACTCCATTGAGCTCAACCGACATGCTGATGCTGCTTGTGCCATTGGTGGTGAGGTTCAGGGCAGAGTCCTGCCTGCCTTCTGTAAGGAAGACACCCACAGGGCAGAGATGTGTTAAGAAGACCCAATCATGTACACAACAAATTCAGAAGGCTATATTCCCTCACAACGCAAACGACTTTCCGAAACTGTCCAATTCAACATTTCTCTGAAGTCACCTGTATTATCAGTACTGAGAAACAGTTTGCGTTGTTCTATCAGATAACCTTGCTATACGATCAAAGAAGGGAATCCCCAGACAAGACAAAAACACACATGTTCTGTGTGCATGCATGCATCTGTTTCTATAAGTTATTCAGGTCAGCATATAGGCCTGCTTCCTCACTGTTTGGCGCTGTGGTTTGTGGTGAGATGGCAAGAATGTCTTGAGATACTAACTGCCAGGAAGTGTAACAATGAGTGAAATCCACAATAATTCCCACAGCAGTAACATAGACTATTATATGTAGTAATATGACTGTTCTGGTAACATTTCCTTGTCTGATTTTCAAATTCCTCAAGACAACACGACACAGCCTCTTCTATTATTATTACATTATGGCAATTTCATTCATCACCAGATGTTATCAATTTATTTTATGTCGATAATATGCATATATTGATGTCTGTTGAACCAAATGATCCTGATCCTATCTGCTGCAAGCCGTCACTCAGACAGAAATAAATGGCAGAGTATTAACTTTATTGAATTTAACATGGAGATTAATATTAATATTAACTGTCGGACCGGAGATTAGATTTGCTTTTATCAAGACAGGATAGTGTGGTTTCATCAGTAATCAGAGATCATAGAATTGGAAATTACACTTTCATTTTGCATCAGTGTAGTGACACATCAGCCCTTTAAAATCACGTCTGACTGGTAGCTTTGCTTTTTTCGTGTTAGCTGAATATATGAGACAGTGTGAAACAGTGTGTTCAGTACCTTGGTTATTGATGCGGATGTTCATGGGTATCTGAGCGGTCATGGCCAGCAGGTTGTGTTGCAGCGCTCTCTGCAGTAGTCGGTGGTGGTCCTCAGCCGGCAGTGCCATCTTCTTCTCCGGTGGCTCGCCAGCCTCCAGTTTGTCCCTCAGCTGCTCTAGAGCCGCCACCTGAGCCATCGCTGCCTGAGCCGCCGCTGCTTGCACAGCCACCACGGAGTGACCCGCGAATGCTCCCACTGGCAGACGAGCCCTTCCGATTCCCGGCAGCGACTGGCCTCCATCCTCTTCTGACCGGATACCACAGAGAGGGAGAGGAACTTAAGTCAAGCACACTCAGCTGAATATGATGAGTTATCCAGGCAGGATATATATTATGTTCCTCCCCTGACCACACTGACAGAAAAACAGCTGGTTTTTAAGATGCACACTACGTTACTGCTTAGAGAGGAAGCAAATCAAACTAAAAAAATAAGCATCTGCAATATCTGCTTTCTGGTAGTAAATACAGAGGTGAAGGTGATTTCAGTATTTATTCATCTGACAACTTTTAACACAGATATCTGTGCTATGTGACGGTCTATCAGACGGTCTACCATCTCTCCACATTTGCATGTCTGTAAACCTAAGTGTGAGTACATGATGGTATTTTGTGTGTGTAAACAGAGTGAAAAAAGAATTTCCCCATTGGGGATTAATAAAGTATCTTGTTCTTCTTTTTCTATATCACACATGACAGACGTAACAAGATGAAAAAGACGTAATGAGAAGAAACAGGCAAGAGAGGGAGACTCGACCCTATTTGAAGTTTCAGTTAACTACTTGAGTAAAGAAGTTGAATCAGTACTTCTACTTGAGGAAATAATGTGTGCACTTATTCTGCTGCAAACACAAAGTTGGTACTGGTACTAGGATTGATATATTCATTTCTTAATGATAAAGGCAGATTTGAATGATTGTCTTTGCAATTTTCAATAGACCTTTTTCAACAGCAGCATTTTTGGACATGAAATAGTAGGGTAAACACAGGTGTTACCAGTGAACCAGCATGCACAATAGGAGCACCCTGACTCTGTTTGACCTAAATGGAACAAACCTTAATTAGTATCATTGTTTATAACACCTGTGTTTACCCTACTATTTCATGTCAAAAAGGCTGCTGTGAAAAGGGTCTATTGTAGTGTCGCGACTAACCCATCTACTTGAGAAACTAAAATCAGTCATTAAATGTTCTAATGACCTCTTTTAAGCTTCAGTTAATCCCATGTGACGTGAGTGCAGCATAATACACAAATCCTACCTTTCTTGATCTTCTGGATGGGGGTCAGCGAGGACCCGTTGGTGCTCACCGGCAGGCCCACACTTGGAGCGGAAAGCTTCGGCGACGAGAGCATTGTGGGCGTCCCGTTGGGCGAGTAGGTGAAGAGGGAGCTGCCGAAGCTCTGTCGTCGGCCCTCCCGCCGGTTACTGTCGATGGCTGCCTGGAGCTCGTTGGGGTTGCTCAGACCCCTCTTATCACATTCATATGGGTACAGGTACTTCATGTATCTGGAAAGAACACAATAATGTATTTATGTGCTGCTGAAAATGTCAGTTAATTCATAAAACTTCAGCTTTTTCACACATCAGATTTCTCATCATGAGGACGATTGATCAGCATGTGAAAACAGCTGTATAATGTCTAGTGTAGCTCTGGAGGAGCTGGAGTCCATTGTGTCGGTCTAATGAAAGATAGGGTTTGATCTATTGTTTTTAAGGTTTCACCTATACTAGGGACTAAAAGTCTACATATGTCAGTGTCTGCTGCTTTGACTGTTTACTAATTTGTCTGTCATAAATGCCCAAATGTTATGGAAGTACCACATTTCCAAAAGGACCCTTTCAAACACCTCATAAGTGTTATTAGATCACAGGCTACAGTGAATTAATTAGCTCTAAAATAAAAACACAGCTCTTAATCATACAAGATATTAAGTGATGGACAATAACTCAAAGTGACATATTTAAAATTGCATTCTCATAAGGGTTAGGGTGACCTAGTTGGTAAAACGAATGGATGTTGACATCTGAAAGCCAGCAGCGCCACACGCTTGAAACACCGAGCAGAACAAAAGGATTATGGGTATAGAGAGTTGTGGCTGGAAAGATTACAGTAACCAAAGCTGTCCAATACATGAGCTACTTATAAGTTGTGTTCTGTGTGTGTGTGTGTGTGTGTGTGTGTGTACGGACTGTGTGCGGAGGGTGAAGGCTGCACTGGTGATTGAGGTAGGCAGGTTGAGTCCTTTGGTGATCTCCCTCCACAGTTTCTTGTTGATGACCTCCACCAGGCCGCCCTTCTCTGTCACCAGCCTGTAGAGCATGTACAGATCTAGGACCTGCTTGGCCATGATGGGAATACGGTTCACTGGGGTTCCTGGAATAACACACACGGAGGGAAACAGTCAACAAAGAGACAAAAAAAACAAAACACTGTCATGGAAACTTCTTTTCATGTCAACAGAAACATCTTCCCTTGCTGGGAATCTTTGAGGTTTGACATATGTTACAGTACAGTACAGGCAGATGGACGTTTAGAGGGCGCTTTAACCATTTTACCAGCCAATTACAGACTTCAAGATGACTCAGAATGATGGTGCTGAGGTATAATAACATATAATAATAATTCATTCAGCTTTAACCACGGCAGGAAGGATGGAGGATCTTTGAGACCAGTGTGAGCTTCAATGCCAGTTTATCTAAATTCAGTCATGTAATGGATTGATGGATTGTCGAAGTAAACAACTTTAGACACCTCTCTAATGAGGACGAGATACACAAACACATTTGGGCAATAAAGCATGGTGTACTGGAGAAGAATTGTGTGATATAATTATATTTTGATGGTTGTTTTTCGTTAACCAGACAGAATAACAATAATTTAAACATTTAGAGTTTTCACAGGGCTCTCAAACTGCTGGTCCATTCATCCATCCTCCGTCCGGCCTATAAAATATAGTATTATCCAGCCCTTGACCTTTAGAGTTGTTTTATATCAATTTAAACTACCCTTTCATATAAATATTTAAACATTAATGTTAAAGTGTCAACAAATGTGAGCAAACTGTTGATAAGAAGAGAGCAGGTTTCAGTCCTTCATTTGTTGTTTGGCTGCGAACAACAAAGATTATATAAAAT